CACTCCTCCCTGACCTGCCCACCACATTTTTGTTTCTCGAAAGTAGGCCATTGTGCTTTAAAAGTTCATCCTGTACCCCAAATGCTTAGACCAGTCATGACCAAATGGGCACTTAATAAATGGTGGTTGAATGAATTAGCTCACTTGATTTACTTAGTGATTCTCAACCTTTCTATGTGTTGAAATCACAGAGAGAGCTGAAACAATACCCATGCCTTTGGCCACACTCTCAGAGATGATTATTTAATGGGTGTGGGATGGGACTCAGGCACTGGTTTTAAAACTTTAGGTGAAACTAATATGCTGCCAGCTTTGAGAATCATCAGATTAAATGAGTAAAATAATATGACAGTGCCTGCTATATGCCAGATGTTTTAATAAAATGTTCACAATAACTCAGTGGATGGAGATGAGATTTGTTTTTGTTAACACATGGAAAAAGCAGAGGCTCAGAATGATGTAATGATTTTGCATAAACCACAGAGCTGGTAAGAAGCAGGGCTAGGCAAAGGCTCTGTTACCTTGCATTGCCTTTCCAGCCTCCCACCAGTGATGGGGAATCTGTTCAGTCTCATCCATTCTCTCAGAGGTGAGCTGAAGTGTAACAATTGGAGAAATGTTGCATTAGCTCTATTCTACTTCCAAGACATAAATATTGTCACCTTTGTTCTGTGGGATAAAAACTGAAGTAACAATTTTCTTTTATAATATCAATTAGTTGACAACCATAATAATAGCAGTTTATATAGTGTTTAATATGTGCCAGGCACTGTTCTAACTGCTTTCCATATGTTAACTCATTTAATTTTCAGAATAATACTATGAGTTAGGCAGCATTATTCCCATTTTACAGATGAGGAAATTAAGGCATAAGAGCTTTAATTAAGACATATAACCAGTAAGTAGTAAAAATGAGATTCAAACCCAGGCTTTTGCACAATGATAGAAGAAGATTGATATGATGCTGTAATTCCTGAGTATTGATTAGCCTGGACCAACAATTTTAGCTCTTGACCTGAGCAACCCTAAACCTGGGAATACATTCTCAGCAGGTTAGAATGCATGGGAAAGTCTTGACAGCTGTTAAGACTTGAAGGGAGCAGTAGTCAAAGTGCAGAGCTGAGCTCTCTGGCACTGAGTAAAGGCAATGATGATGAAGCCGCCACATAATTGGATTATTCCCATGAGGCACCTAAAACTTCTTTTAGCTATTAGTAATGACATCCTAGGTATGCTAATGGTCATTTTTTCAGTCTTAAGCTTCATTAAATTGCCAAATTGTCACCTTTTAAAAAAATTCTTTCAAATTTGACTTCTGTACTATGATTCACTCTTAGTGTTCTTTTTGCCACTCTCTAGACTTCTCCTTCTAGATTCTTCCTTCTGACCTAAGAATATTGTCTTCAAGGTCTGCTTCCTTGACACTATGTTTTGTCTCTTGGCTACTGCTCCTGAGTTTCCCTGTTATTTGAGATAATAGTTAAGCCCGAGCTCTTTCCCCAGGCCTGATGTCCTTGAATCTCTGACCCTGTATTTGTGACCGGCCTTTTGGAACTATGTACCTGGATGTTCTATTGACTTTGCATGGAACGATTCTAAAATGAAACTTATCTCCCCTTTCCTGACTGTTCTCCTGCCTGTTTTCTGTTTCTCAGACCCCAGGTGAAAACTGTGGGTGTCTTTGAATCCTTTCTCTGTGTCCCCCTAGCCGGATCCCAGTCCCTCCACTCTGTGAGCAATTGCCAAGGCCCATCAAGTGTGTCTCGGGAGTTCCCTGATGTTCCCTGCCCTGTGTTCTCAAGGGGCAGCCCTTATTTTCTCTCCTGCAAACAGCTGCCTGATTCTTAAGCTGTTGCCCTGGCCTCCGGTCTATTCTCTTACCAATCTATCGTGTACACTTCAGCTGCATAATTCTTCCTAAAGTATAGTCTCATAATAACAAGAGAACAGTGTCCCCAAATCTGTGTTGTTTGACCACTGACAACTACGTAAGGTCCACACTTACGAGCATTTCATCTGCCGCCAGCCTTCCAGCTGCGCTTCAGTCAGACCGGATCATCCTCTGCGTCACAAATTGTGACTGGGGGCCCTTAGTCCAGATTTGGCCTGCAGACATGTTTTGTTTGGTCCTCAACTTAAAAAAAAAAAAAAAAATCTGAATCGATGCTTTAAAATCAAAGGAATTCCCATGAAAGTTAAAGTCTCAGAGAAAGTACAGGAAGCTGTGAAAGCTTTAGAAGAGATGGAAATTTGGAAAAAGGGAGAGGATCAGACAAGACTTAAATTCTTACCTACTGTTCAGCTAGTATGGCTCAGTGGTTGAGCGTCAACCCAGGGACTGAGAGATCCTGGTTCGATTCCCGGTCAGGGCACATGCCCAGGTTGTGGGCCCGATCCCCAGTGGGGGGCAGGCAGGAGGCAGCCAATTGATGTTCTCTCTCATCAATGTTTTTATCTCTTTCACCCTCTCCCTTCCTGTCTCTCTCAAATCAATAAAGAAAAAAAAAACTTTAAAATTCTTATCCACTTAAGTTCTCGATCAATCTTTTACTCACCTTTGTAGTGGAGTCTTTATATATAGTAGGTAACTAATTAATACTTGTTGAATTACAGTTATATGACCTTTGGTAATTTTTTGCCACAAACATTGAGGTTTTTCTGTTTCACAAGAGTTCTGCATTTAGCGAATCTCAGGTGATTTGTGCAGTAGCCTTAAGTGCAAGTCACAAAATTTGCATACCAATAAAGATTTTTTTTTTTTATCCTCACCCGAGGACATTTTTGCATCCATCCTCAGATAGAATGGGAGGGACAGAGGGAGGGTGAGAGAGAGAAACATCGACGTCAAAGAGACACATCTACGTCAAAGAGACACATCGACTGGCTGCCACCCCCATGACTCCAACCGGGGCCAGGGACAAACTGCAACCAAGGTACGTGCCCTTTATGGGATCCGAACCCAGGACTCTCTGGTCCATGCGCCGATACTCTAACCGCTGAGCCAAACTGGCCAGGGCCCAATAAAGAAATTTAAATCTGCATTTAAAAGTACATTCAAATTTTATGGTGTTAAAAAGATGACCATAGATTTTCATGCTGATAAATGACCCATGAAAATTTGTTTTGTATAACAGGCAGGAATAAAGCAGAATTCAGAGAGGAGAATTTTAAAAACTCTTAGACAGGATGAAATGACTGTCCCTGGGAAAGGTGGAGAACCACGGATGTAGAATGCCAGCCTTTGAACATAGGAAATGAAGCAGGTGGTCAATTGCAATAGATGCTCTAAGCATTTAATGTGGTTGGCTCATGATGAAAGTTGACCACGTGCTAAGTGAGTTATGTGAATGGGTATCAGTGTACTATGGCTTTCCCCCAGCTTCCTGTCCCCTTTGACGTAAGCATATAAATGAGCTTTTTAGAGATAATTATTTTACATCTCTGTAACCTGAAATAATTTTAGAACTTGGTAATAGTCATGGTCCTAATACCAAATGTACATAAGAGGAAAAAATGGTTGTCTCGGCTTCTCTGGAAATATTGAACTGTCCCTGGGCTGATGTTTCTAAGTGCAATGGTTTCTGGATCAGAGGTACAATGATAACATTAACCAACTCATATAAGGCTCAGTATGTGCCAGCCACTGTTCTAGTTGTTTTTGCCTTTTGTTTGTTTGTTCTTAATGAACACCAGCTAATGGGTTTGTAAGGCAGTGCTTTCCAGCGCTGTTCACGGCAGGGCGTGTGTATTCCACAATAATATTTACATGGACACTAGGATAAATGGCTCAGGAGCTCGCTTGGCTGCCCGGGGGCTGAGGGGTTCTGTACACAGGACATCGGCACTCACTTCGAGGTGCACCTGTGTGCCCATACACACTGTGCTGGGAAGCTGCGTGATGGTGTATTGCAGACTTTCTATAGTCCTGATTTCTGCTGGTAGCATTGCTTCCTTGACCTTATGATGGCATTAAATATTTCACTAATCATCAGTGTTCTGTTTCATAGTCTACAGAAGGGCACTGTTACTCTCCAAGCTATTCCCCTTTCTGAGGTTTGAGAGCCACTTGGGGAAAGTTTATGCACATGTGCCAGGAAAGTTCCCATCACTCGACACCTCTGAACCTCTCTAGTTCGATCAGTCTCTGGCCTCCAGGCTGCTTCCAAGTCGCTGTCTTGGAAACATGGCCATTAAGTTGTGCAAGGAGTCAGTTTTATAAGTGCACTCAACAGGAAGAGCTTGTGTAAGAGGTGAAGAGAGGGGAATACACTCCACAGGGTCTTTGCTGAGTGGGTGGCTTGGGTTTCTTCTCTCTATGCTCCTTCTCCAACCAAATAACATTCTGTGGACATTTAATGTGGAGCTCAATGCCCTCGGGCTCAGAGGGGGAGAGACGCTGCTATGTGTTCTTTGCACATTTCTGAAAAGCTCCTGGTTATGCCGGAGGTGGTCTGCTTCTTCCCTCTCACACACTTATCCCTTTCTCCGACTCTCTGAACAACCAGACATACTCAACACACTTACAAATACTTAAAGTAAATACAAAACTTGCCTCTCTTTTATTTGCATTTAAATGAAGTATTCTTCCTCTACTCTTATTATGCTTTTGAACTGTGATGTGCTGATCTAAGGAAAAACAAAAAGGACTGAATCCTTTAGTTCTAGGAATTCATTAGTTCTAGGTTTCAGTCCCAGAACTGCCACTTATCCAGCTAATTGGGTAAGTTTATTTAATTTCTAAGCCTTGTGATGATACCCGTCCCATTGCCCTCTCAGAGCTGACCTGGAAAACCAGAGGGAATCTAATGCATGAAAGTATTCTGGAAGTTCTCAAAGCTCAAGGTCAATGCAAGTTGTCATTGTATTAAAAGTGGCCAGGGAGTCCTCAAGAGCAGTAGGAGTCCCTTGTAAGAATTGAAATGCTGAGAGTTGGCGAGTGTGGTTCTGGTGGTGATGGGTTGACCGGGCTCTCACTCCTTATTCCCTCCCTCACCTTGCAGAGTAACCTGATGCACTACCTGGGCCTGAGCCACCATCTGGTCGCGCTGAATTTTATCATCACGAATTTCGACAAGAAAAGCGCCTGGTCATCTGGCCAGGTGAAGGTGACCGACACCGACTTCGACGGCGTGGAAGTCAGAGTGTTTGAAGGCCCTCCAAAGCCAGAAGAGCCGCTGAAACGCAGCGTTGTTTATATCCACGGGGGAGGCTGGGCTCTGGGGAGTGCAAGTAAGTCCCGGTCACCTTCAGATTGTTTAGGGCTGTGGTTGGCCCTGGGAGAAACGTGTGTTTAATTGAGTTTGAATTTCTTTTTGGGTAAAGAGAAGGGAACTATTTGACTTGGTTCCTCTGGACAGTCTCAGTTGCCCCTATTTGTCCCAGCAAAAGTATGCGTGGTGTGTCCTTTTCACGCTTGAAAGTGTCCTAGTTTGGATGATTAATTATATGTTTATACCCTACTTAAAGGTCTTCGCCTGTTTGTTTGCTTATTTGTTAGTTAATGAGGGTAGACTGTTTTGAAAAGATCTCCTGTGATGGAAATCATAGGCTGAGTTATTGCGAAGTGCCGGCAACGGCTTTCCTACCCAGCCCAGGTGGAATTTCACTGGATGCAGGGTGCGGGGACCATCCACAGCTCTTTTGCCATCTTGTGTTTTGAACACATCTTTCTGTGAAATAGAACAAGTATTTCTGAAGACATGTTAGCTCATCCACATTTGATCTGCTTCTGACGCCAAGGATGGAAATGTAAAAGCATGCCACCGTTCAAAAGGAGTGATCTCACCGAGTGCAGGAATGCTCCCCGTGGTGCTGGGTTCCTTTCTCAGCAGAGCGGGTTCAGATGGCAAGCCGCCAGGCGGAGCAGCCAGCAGAAGGCACGGGGCAGAGCAGGGGCCTGATCTCTGCCTGCAATGTCCATGGAGCTATTTCCTCATCTTCCGCCCTGAGCTGTGGCAACTAGTTCTAGTTTGTTTCTTTCTTTTTTTTTTCTTCTTCTTCTTTATAATTCCTCACCCGAGGATATTTTTCTGTTGATCATAAGATAGAGTGGGAGGGAGGGAGAGACAGAGAGAGACGGAGAGCAACCTCGATGTGAAAGAGACACATTGACTGGTTGCCTCCCGCCTGACCCAACAAGGGCCGGGGACAAACCACAACCAAGGTACATGCCCTTGACCAGAATCAAACCTGCATTGGTCCGCGGGCTGACGCTCTAACCGCTGAGCCAGACTGGCCAGGGTTGTTCATTTGTTTCATAATAACCTATTTTTTATGAGGCAAAGGCCAAAAGTACAGTTCTTTATAGTAATTCCATTTCATTTAACTACACATTCATCATTTATTCTTTTATTTATTGATTTGTTCACGTGTTGGACAGATGTTTACTGAGCATATAGGTTAGCCTAGGACTGGCAGCTGTTCTGGGGTGCAGGACTTCCAGAACAAAAACTCAAACAGTTGTGTGCAAACCTGGACCTTTGTCACCCCAATGTGGCTAGGTGATGGGGATATAAAAATGAATAAAACAGAATCTTTTTTCCTAGAAAAGAATGAGTCTGTACCATGGGACATTTGCCAGGTGAGACTTTATACTGGAGGCCAGGAAGTGTGAGTGCCGGGAATGGTCTAGATTATATGAGTCAGCCTGGCCTTTTCCACATAATTTGATGACTTTTGCCAGAGGAGATGCTCAGGCTGAGGAAGGTATGTAGATGGCTATGTGCTTATTGAACTTCTGAGTCTAAGACTGCCTTGGAAAACCTATGCATAAGGTGATATTTGGCTTTTTGTTGACACAATCTGCTCTTAATATATTGGAATAACCACAAACTGATGAATTTTTTACATAATAAAATTGCTTCTGTCGCTGCAAACCTCTGGATTGTCTTTCTAAGGATTGTTAAGCATTCTTAAAATCTAGTCTGGTATGTGTTGATTTAAACAAAAATACCATGTTCTTCAAATTGTTGACTTTTCTGAATTGCAGCAAATGAGGATGTTAAAAGAGAACATTTTTATGGTTCTAAGGAGAAAACTGCTTATTGGTCATGATTGTTGGAAAGGCATATATTTGAAGAGCTACAAAGTCAGAATTAATTTGGTGCATTTCATATAGTCCATTTTGAAATAAACGTTTAGTTCATTAAGAACACGTTCAAAGACAATCTAATATGGATTTCCTATTATTTTATAGTAATTGCATTTTATCAGAAACCCAATTTAAATTCTACGTTTGTACATGTAGCTATATTAAGGAGATAGATATATGTTCACATTTGCTTTTTATTGTTAATACTTAAGTCCAAGTCTAAGAGCAGTTCACAATTAGCAGACTTTAATAATGGACAGTGCTAAATACCTTGTTTAATAGTGATTGCTCCTTTGTTTCCTTTAGAAATCAGCTATTATGATGAACTGTGTACAGCAATGGCTGAGGAGTTGAATGCTGTCATTGTCTCCGTTGAGTAAGTAATTAATACTAGTCATAGAAATAAATTTAAGAAGAGATCCTAGATAACCATCTAGTTACTTTATTTTACACGTGATAAAATTAAGTATAAAATAAAGGTTCAGAGAAGTGATTTTTCCCAGGGTTAGCCAAAATGATTTCTGATACAACTTAGAATTTCTTGAACTTTCTATATAATGTCTTAAATTCTCTTATTATTTTAGTTTTGGAAACTTCTGGAAAAGGAGTTAACTGAAATTGAGAGAAATATACAATCAGTTATCTATAGCATATAAGCTCTATCACTGCTGTTTTTAAAACAAAAACCAATCAGCATTTTAAGAGAATCTCTCCTACAACCATGGGTTGTAAAGCTGTTCCCCTGAAGACAGGTTCTGTAGGTCAGACCTTGTAAACTGTAATGAGTTCAACGAATCGTCGTCAATGTAGATATGATTATCATTAGTAGTAGTAATGTTAGTATTGATATTTTGAGTTGCTGCCACCATCTTTCTGGGAAACTAAGAAGACTGTGAATACTTATAACAACCGTGGGGATAGTAACAATACAAAAGTCGTGGCACCTGTTCCGTGGCAGAGGTGGCGCTGGTGCCACCGCAGACGTCGTCAACCTTCCCTCGGAGCTTTGGTCCTAAGTCACTCTCTCAGCAAGCCTTCCAGACACCCCTGTTGAAAATTGCAACCCACTTTCCTCTTGAATTGAGGTCCTTTATTTTTCTCCAAAACTGTCATCAACAACTGACAGATCATCATATATTTAACCTACTATGCAGTTTTCGTACTGAACAGAAACAGACCATGTAAGTTTCCTGAAGGCAGGGATTTTAGGGACTTTGCTCTCTTTTGTTCATTGCTGATCGTTGTGCCTGAAAACATTCTTGGCAAGACAGTAGGCACTCAGTAAATATTTGTGGGATGGATGAACAGGGTCTTGCTTAATTCTCATATAAATCATCCGCAATAACAATGATATTTTCCCCATAGATGAGGAAACTGAGGCCCGAGAATGTAAGGAACCTGCATGAGGTCACATAGCCAGTTAGTCACAGTGCTGGAGTGGCGAACTGAGCCAGGTCACATTGTCCCGAGGCCAGGGTGAAGCCGGTATCGAAGGAAGCTGACCATGCTGAGTGGCCATATGACAGTGTTACAGCAACAACATCGGCTGCTTTTCACGCCCTGAGCTCATCCAGCTCTCCCGGTCCCTCTGCCCCTTCCTGCCAGCAGCTCTCCCTTTCCAGCTCATGTCCTCCTTGCCCCCAGTCCAGGCCTGAGAACTAACAGATCTCAATCCTCTCTCTGCAGTCCCTTGGAAGGCTGGTCCCCTGAGCCCTTCGGGCAGCCCTGGCCCGTCTGCAGACGCCGCAGTCACACAGAGCGGTGCCATGCTTCTGGCCCTGAGCTCAGGCTCCCAGTGAGTCCTCCCAGCCCTCTGAGGGACCCTTGGCAGAGTGTTGCAATGCAGGAACCTTCAAGAAAATGATGATGTCATCTGGCTTGGGCAGCTGGTCAGAGCAAACCAGGGCTATTTAAGCAGCTTGGTGTTGGGGAACCAGCCTCTGAACCCTTCCAGTGGTTCCCTGTGTAGCTCCTCACAGGCCTGGGCATAGGAGGAAAGCTGGCCTTGCTTTACTTGGCACCGAGAAGGCTCTCCGCCCAGGCCTCACCCACCTCCAGGGCTGTGATATAACAGTTGGCAACACGCTGTAGCTCTTCCGACATCCCCTTCTCCACGTGTCAGCATCTGTTTCAAGTAAGACGGGTGTTCTTAAGCTTATAATAAAAACGCACAAGATGGATGAGATGTTTAAAAAAATTTTTTTTTAAAGAAAGCATAGACAGGGACTGCTTTCATCTCTGACTTTCTGTGAGGCCTGATTTGTGCAATGCAGCTTCCAGAAGTTTACCAATTGGGAGGCATCGCAGCAGTGGGCGGTCATTACTCGTGATTGTGTGACCGCAGGCAAGTCAGTCAACCTCGTGTGCAGTGGGGTAGGAATCCTTTCTGTGTGTCTAAAAAAATGTTAGCTGCTGGGAACCAAAATCGTGTCTTTCCTTTGGGTCCCCATCACCAACTATAAGGCTTAGCACATGTATTCGAGGCAAATATACTTCAGGGTGGGGGGCTAATGGTGTCAGAGAGTTGTCACAAGAATCAGTTTGGACAACTGAGATAGAAGGGCTTCAGATACCCAAAGGTGCTAGACAGTCTAGAGGATTAGTGCTGTAGCCCACAGGTGAAAAGGTCCAACTTACAGATTTATTTACCAGCATGTGCTTGGAACTCACAGCACTTTTTTTTTTTTTCTGAAGAAATGATAAACTAAGATGCTTAGGATTCAGGCCAGCCAGCCCACAAAGAGCTGTGTGACCTGTGCTCTAGTTGAGACATAGCCAACATCATATGATCATGATGTTTCTTTTGCAAAGTACCGTCTGACTTGAGAACATATGTCTCCTCACTACTCATGTGTTTCCTCTTTCTTTTATTCCATAAACATCTGTTGATTCCTATTATATGCCAGTGTGTTAAATGCTGGTGACGTGCCATGTAAGACAGATATCATTCCTGCCCTAAAAGTTTACAATCTAGGTGAGGAAATAAACTTTGAATGAGTCATGGTAAGTGTGATCAGTGATGCAAGGCAGAAGGTGAGTAGTAATGGAGGCACCTAGTAGGTAAGATCTTATCTAGTTTGAAGGGTCAGAAAGGGCGTCTTGAAGAAAGTCGTATTTGAATTGAGGTCCTGAGGATGCGCAGAACTTAGACAAAGTGAGTGGGTCGTGGAGGTTCCCAGCGGGGTAATGAGAGGCCTTGGGAGGAAGGGGAGGAGGCAGAGAATTAAGGGAATAAAACAAGAGAGAAGACAGATGGGGGCGCTTACATTCTGACTATGACCAAGGAAAAGAAGAAATAAGGGTGGGCGCTTCTGAGAGACCCTTGGCTGTCCTCCTCCTCCTTGCAAGTAGACTCCTTGGAGACAGTTGCTCCTTATCTTCGAGGCCCAGGGAGCGGAGCTGGGCTCCGAGCTGCGCCGCGTGGGGCGGGGCCCTGGGGAACGTTATAATCTGATGAGCTGGCAGCTAGCGTGGGGCCGCCCTGAGCGTGGAGTCACCTCTCGGGAGCGATCACCGGAACTCAGAAGTCCCCAGTCCATGTTGTGGGCACTGGCCCGGGTTCCGGGGACTAACCCAGCAGCGGATGGGTAGACGAAGGCCTCAAGGTGTGAAAACAGGCTGTGCCTTCTACTCAGTAGCTTCTGTAACACTGTGCTGTTTTACATGTTAATTGCACAATAAGTATTTGTAAAATAAATGGGGGAAAAAGTATCTTATAATACCAAAGATACATGATGTATCCTCAGTTATATGATCTAAGAAGGTCCTATTTTAGATTCATAAACTTATTTTCATCAAGTTCAACGCATAACATGGTATCTTTTTACCTATATTTTCTATAATAAGACACAATACTAGAACCATAAAATAAGTGAAAAGGAAGATTTAATTTCTTTTTTCAAAAGACAAAATGTAAGCTAACACAGTTGGCATGTTGGATATTATTAAATTCTATTTAATCCATTTTATTTCATTCTATAAATTCTATTAAGTTCTAGAAAGCATTTATGTTGCTTTCTTGGATGAGGAAAACAGTTCCAAGTTGTGTTTTGCTTTTTTTTTTTTTAATTTTTTTTTCCTTTATTGACTTTTTTAGAGAGAGAGGAAGTGAGAGGGAGAGAGAGCGAAACATCGACGAGAGAGAACATCGACTGGCCGCCTCCTGTATGCCCCCCACTGGGAATTGGGCCCACAACCTGGGCATGTGTCTTGACCAGGAATTGAAGTGGCGACCTCTTGGTGCCTGGGTCCACGCCCAACCACTGAGCCACACGGGCTGGACGGGTAAACTGTCCACTGCATGGAGATGGAGATTCCGCCCACCCCCCGCCAGGCGGCCGTGCACCGAGCACCGAACCTTCCGCAGAGCCGTGAGGCCGGTTGCTACTGCAGCCTCTGTTTGCTGCAACGAGACACTTATGCATCTTTTATTTCACCCATAAAATTAGATGAGTACAAGCTGACAAAACCACAGTGCTTTTAGGAGGCACAGTACAACCCACATCTTAAGAATCGTTGGAAAATAAGACACTGAGAAACAGAGTGACAGTGACCTTCTCTCTTCTCCTTCACCTGCCCGAGTCCTGAGCAGAGCCGGCGTCAGTCCCGCCTGGGCAGCGCTGGAAGGTGGGCCGGCCCAATCCCTAAGCATTCCCCTCCAAGACAGGGAAGATCTGCTGAAAGCCTTTCTTTTGCTCAGCTGGGGCCAACCTGAGCACACCCAAAGGCAGTGTCAGAAATAATTCAACTCTACAGACAGATAATACTGTGGCTTCTTGTAAGAAGTACGTTCTTTTATTCTCTTCACCATCATTAGCTTGACAAATCCCCTTTTTAGACATTTAACTTCAAAAGTCTTTTTGGCTTTGTTTTCTACTAACAACAACCCCCCGGTTCCTCTCTTGTGGTTTGGTCTCAGACTTTCTAGGGGAAACGTGCGCTTTACAAAAAGCCGAGCTGCAGAGCTGCAGCACGCGAGCACCTGCGGCTGGAAACCGCAGGGAGGTAGTGAGCCGGCTTCACCCACGCCTGCACCCTGGAGCTGTTTGGCTTGTGAAACGACAGAGAAAGGAGGCCAGAGGACCTGGCACCACACTTGCTTGGGTTTCTGGAGTCATGGGGCAGCACCCTGGCTCGTTTACTCAGAGGTGAGAGGTGAGGTGTGCATCTGAGAGGGAGGAGGCGGTCCGATAACGCAGAGCTCTGTGAGCTCCCTGCTGTGTGCAGAGATAGGAGTCAAGAACCCTTCAATGGTGACCAGCCTCAGAATCACGTCCTTCGAATGGATGGAGTTCTCGGCTCCAGCACTCCTAGGATGTTGGTGAAGCATCCTGACGCGTCAGTTCTTGCTGATGTTACCCTTACTCCAATCAGCCA